TCCCCCCCCCCCCCCCCCCCCAAACCGTTTTTTATTCTTTTACGCAATGCTACGAAATGTTTTCTTATTTATCTTGGCTCCTAAGGAATTCCGCTTTTCTCCTCTCTTGTTTACCGCCTCTTACACGGTTCCCTCCCTTTTAATTCCCGGGCTCCTTTACTCTTGGCCTCTTTCAAGCGTTCAACTAGTTGGGACGAAGCGCGAAAAACGGCGCGCGAAAAAAATAAAAAAAGCGCTGCGAGAGGAATCTCGCCGCGCTATTTTCATTTTTTCGCGCGCTGTTTTTCGCGCTGCGCCCCAACTAACTGAACGCCTGAAAGAGGCTACTTTACTCTAACCTATTTCGCAGGATTAGTCTTAACATATTTGCTCTCATCTAGGAGGACTGCAAACATTGAGGTTCCCAGACCAAGAACAGAGATCGGCAGATCATCTTTTAAGCACAAAGCTGCCCTCTGCTGGAGCCTCCTCCCCAATTCCTTTAAGGACTCTCCCATTTTAAGAAGTTAATTAGGGAAAACAAAAACTTTCTAGGAATTATAAGTTTTGAGAAAGCTTCCTGTAGCATTTCTTTTACTTCAATGGACTTAAACAACTGTTTGAGGCTAATTTCCCTGTTTCATTTATGTAAGACATTCTCATATTACATCAGTAAGTAATTAATGTATTTTACATCTAGTTAGTGCCGCTCCACATCGGGACTTTAGTCTTGCCGATTTTGTAACCTGCTTAATTAAATAAACTATGTATGTATACATGTATCTGACCTGACACTGATTGCTGGGATTCACTGTACCATATGAGTAACACCGATTGCTGATTTTACACTGCCTCAGGTCACAGTTGTATCCGACTTTGGTGTAGCAGGAATAACAGCTGCATGTGAAACTACCGAACGTGTTCGTACACGTGTGTTGGCATGGGTTGTTCTGACACTCGTTCACATCTGTAAGGAAGAAAAACAAGTTCTGTGGAAATCTATGGGCGGCACATTGTTTCGTTATGGATCAACTAAGGTAGCTCAAAACAGTTTCCAACACTTTCCAAGACTTAGATTTTGATTGGTCATTATAGCCACCCTTTATCACTTGATGCTGCAATCATGGTATTAAAAAGTTGCCAAATCATTGGTGAACACTTTGTTATCATTTTCATGACACAATAGGTTACCATAGCAACAGTATGAACTACTAAAAACAACCTAAATTTAACTTTTAGTAACTATATTTCAACAACGGCACCGTGAAACCCATTTTTATCATCGAATTTTGATAAGCAAGATAAGATACAACTTTTAGTTTAACAAAATTCTGTACTTGGGTTTCAGAGCCACCTTGATTAATGTTTCGAAAATAAGTGGCAAAAGTTATGAGTGATAAAATTAGATAAAGATCATAACCATCAGTTAAGAAGAATAGTTCCGAAAGAGAAAATCTGTTCACAGACCCTGGAAGCTTCTGTAAAATTTTAGCCATGTAGCGCGTGATCTCATTGGTTCCTTAGTTGGATTGCATAAAGCTATGTGTACAGCGTGACCTGCAATGGCGTTATTTTTAACTTTGTTTTTTAAGCACTAGAAATACCGCGATTTTCAGTAACCTGACTGCATTGCGCGCAAGTAAAACAAACGTGAAAAACTATATTGGCAGGGAAAAGAGAATTTTGTCAGTTCTTTTAACATGACAGCGTAGTTGTAGCGAGTAGAAAATTGTTTAGCGTAAGATATCACAATGTTGGTTGTTTCAAATTACAACTCAGTCGAAACAACAGGAAAATTCTGTGAAGAGAGAAAGTCAAAAGTTTTTTTTTATGAAACAACAGGGTAGGTGAAGAGCGCACAAAAGACGCAAATTCACAAGTTTGGTTGTTTACATGTAAAATGACAACATAGTTGGAATAGCAGTGTAAAGAACTTGAGATCTTGTATCCTCTAAAAGAAGTCTCAATTAATGTTGTTGCTGCTGTTGTTGTTTCTTAAAAAAAAGAATGGATTAATACAATTACTCCCTTGGTAAAAGCGGAAGGCAAAAAGCGCGGTGATGTAATGTCTAGGTAGTTACGCTTATGCTCAGCCAATGACGAAGAAGACAAATTTAGGTATTTTAGGTTCATATTTTAAACTTGTTTCATTGGTACGTGATGCATGCCGATTTGCCACACCCTGAGAAGGGTCAACAGTGATTTATGCGTGCTGTAACGCGCTTGAAAGAGATGATAACGTGTTGGTATGTACTTGCGTTGCAGACTGAATAAATTTACAGTCATAAGATGATATGCTTTTTCGTAAGATATTAGCTCGTTGAGATTTGTTAAAGGTTTGGTGTTGATAAGAACCGCCTTTCTTCCTTGCTTTTCTTTTCGTTCATTATTGTAGATTGCGCGCGCGTTTTCCACGCTGCGGGAACTTCGCGAAAATCGCCACGCGTGTGTGAGAGTGGACAAAGTAAGAGATGATTACAATCCCGAACAAAAAACTTGGGACACCAAACAAGTTCTCCCCTCCCCCCATCTACAGTGTTGATAATCAGGTCATTTTTTCCCTTTTTGTTGGAAAAAATGCGACATTTTCTAACGTTGTTTAGGGGGAATGGGGGAACGTGATCCAGCTTGAGTGTCCCAACTAATTTTTTTCCGGGATTGTAGCTGTAGCTCATTGTCTAGGACACTGTCCTTTTCCCCCTACTCGCGCGTTTTCCTTCGTTCGTGTGCTTATTTCGACACAGCTCGACCACGAACCGATCTGTGCCAGGATGTACCATCTTAAAATAATCCTTACGAGTGTCAAGTGATTTTACAC